GGGAGGCAACCAATCAATGATTCTCTCTCATCATTGATGTTTCTATCTCCCTCTCCCTCTCCCTTCCTCTCTGAAATCAATAAAAAAAAATATAAAAATAATAAATTAAAGGAAATTTATTTGAATGTCTGGCTTAAGGCCATATAAAGGCCTGGTTTATAGCATTTTCCAATTTCCATGATATAATACATGATGATTTCAAGCTTCCAATGGTTTAAAAAGCAACTAACATAACTGCTAAAAGTTCAATAATCAGTTACTGCAAGCAGACAGGTGCAGCTCCAGGAGACCACTACACTGCTCAATGATATGGTTACATTTCCCTTGGTCTCAACTCTTAATAAGAATTTGATTTTTGGTCATAGCATGTATTTCCAAATGCCTCTTATATCTCACTCCAAGTATCTCTACTGATGTCAGTAATATCCTGGCAGATCAGAAGGATAGGATACATGATACTCATTTTACTAAGATGAAGAAACCAAGTCCCAGGAAAGTGATGTGATTCAACCTGAATCATACTACAAGTAATTGTTAACATCATTTAATAAATTATCTGTTTTATTTTCCATAAATATAACTGATTTTCCACAAATTCAAATTGTAGAATTTCTAAAAATATTTTTAAAACTCTAAAAAAAAAAATCTTGCCATCTAAAGACATTAGTTAACAGTATTACATGTATGAGTATTTAATATATATATAGGTTTCATACTATTATAACAATTATATATAGTATTCTACCTTACTTTTTACTTTATACAAGGTCAGCATTTTTCTGTGTTATTACAAATGTCTGGAAACTATTTTTAATGCCTGTATAATATTGCAATGAGTTGACTCACTATCATTTACTTACTAATTTTCCTGGTTTTAAACATTTAGGTTGGTTTGAGTTTCTGTCATTATCAACTACCATATAATCAATACCTTTGTATAAAAAGATCTTTCTATAATATGGGTCTTTTTTTATTGTTTAAATCTTAGAACAATATTGCCAAGACTAGGACTCAGATTTTTAGATTCCTATTCCTAATTTCTTTCCACTACATTTCCCAACTCTTAAAATAATAAACCACATGGGCATTTTAATCTAATGCCATTGTAAGTTTTCATGTACGTGTTTCAGTTTTCTTAGTCATCCCTAACCAACGGTGGAAAGGAAGCACCTTGAAACCTAACCCAAATGCAAACATAGCTTTCAGTACTATTACTTTATAGGAATATATTCAAGGAAATTGGTAATAACATTAGCATTGATGAAAAAAACTGATTAGAGTAAGAGTGAACTATGCCAATTTGTTTCTGTGGGCTTTGGTTTTATCTTCCCAGTGTTTACACAAGGTCTGTCTCTTGTTCAGCCTTTAAAGTTGTCTCCCTGAGTCTTCATTTCGGCCTCATCACTCAGGAGTTGAATGACCAACTTGTCTTGGTTTTCCCAGGGAATTCACAATTTAAAACTAAAGTTTAAATTCCCATATCCCAGGAAACACAATAGTTCCAGGCAAACCAGGAGGGTTGGTCACCCTACCAGTCAGGAGTGGATACTGACTCAAGTCATCCACAATTCCTCCCACTCTTTTACCCCTCACATCTATTCAATCACAAAGTTAAGTTGATTTAATCTTCTGTCAATGCTCAAATCCACCCAACTTGTTTTCATCTCTACTATTACCACCTCTAAAATTTGGTCCAATCTCCTCAATCTACTCTAATGAACAAATTAATCAGCAAAGTCATTTCAGATCTACCAAAGATCACACAGCTGCTTCCTGCTTCCTTGTGTCCTCTTCCTCCATCCTCCCCAAGCACAGAGTATGGCAGGAACAGTACTTGGAATTCTGATGTCTTTGGCTTAATGCTGCCACTTACTATGTAAATATCATGGGCTTAGTTTCTGCATAGGTGAGGATACAAATACCAGTCGTTTTGAAATGCCAGTTCTCAGCAGTGCCTAGTAGCAATTTCAGCTTTTGACAATGTTAAAAAATATTAATGACTTACAGTTGCAGAAACTTGATGCTACAGAATCTTAACAACCAGCGATCTTTTAAGACTAATATGTAAATAGAAGTAGAGTGAATTAAAATGGGCAGGATACTTTTGAATCCTCTAGCTTCTCCAATTTGCTGCTAGGAATTGTGATGTTATCTCCTCAAGGCAGAACAGTCTTGAATGACCATATGTTTGCATAATGGCTTTTTAGTTGCTTCTTTTGCTCATTTGCTTTCCACAACTAATTGATTACCAGACCTATGCTGAAGTCTGGAGGCATCTTTGCTTGAGATCAGTCACAATTCCCTTGGATAGGTGAAGAATAATGTTATTTCACCTTGAAAAGGTAAGGAAAGTTGGTTTTCCAATTAGGAATATATTTCATCCAGGAAATTTAGGGTTTTTAATGTTTGTCATATGGTAAGAAATTTTCCATGGTCTATGTGAATATTAAAATAGGCAATGCCCCTAGACCAGAAAAGTATCAGCTACTTCTCTTTGTTATGATGGATACCTGGGTATTAGGGAAACTGGAATTAGGGAGACAATAGAGAAGATATTCTAACATTGGGATCTGTAAGGTTATTTGTCAGCCTTGAGTCCAGCCACTGTCTAGAATCCTAAATTTTGATGAATACCTTACGTTCAGTAAAATTTAATATTCTGAGAGTCAGTCACATATACTTCTTTATCTTACCCTGAAAACATTTAGGATAATGACTGCTGGAAAACAGTTTCTGGTACAGGTCATCAACATAAGGAATGGAAGCAAATCCTAGGCAGTTAGAACCAAAGGGGTAGAAAGAATCTTTAGTACAAACCAGTAGCAAGGACAGTAATAGACTGCAGAGATCAGTTAATAAAATTCTAAAATGAAAGTTCCATTTGGGAACGTATCTTTTCTGCTATATTCATATAATAGCTCCAGTTTCTAGAATAATGTGTGGCACATTAAAGGTGCTCATTAAAATCTTATTAAGTAAACAAATATCTAAATATCAGCTTAGGGGCAGGTGACTATCAAAGAATGTGAATAGCTTTGCATTCTAAGGGCTTGGGATGGTAAAGTAAAAAATAGGAGAGTTTAAACGTATCAACAACTTGATTTGCTCTGGTCCCTTATGCCTTACAGGCTTGATAAACTACAACAAACTCAGTTCTAAAGCTTTCATGTCTTTCAGACCATTAGAGAATCCCCATGACTGGATAATGGCTACTGCTAAGAGCTTGCAATGTTGAATAAGAACACTAACTTAATTCTAAGGCATTATAATATAAATGAAAGGACTCATTAATATTTCAAAATCTTGTCAAAAGCCCTGACAGAGAAGACCCAAATGATAGTCCATGAGAAACAAAACAAAATGTAAAGAAATAATTAAGGCTTAAGGGTTTTCAAAAGCACAGAAAAAGAGAAGACTCCAGAACTGAACACGTGAGAAAACGGGAGGGTGACTATTGTTGCTGTGTGAGATCCCAGCACAGAGCCAGTAAAAGAAGTGCAATGTTATTTTGAAGGCCCTGGTGAGCATATCAATAGCGATGCTCTTTGGTAGGCAAGGTTTGAAGTACACATGAGCACATATGCCTGTTAGAGACATGTGTGCTTTTGTTATCCACCTGGGTTGCCTTCAGAGACTCAAAGCAAAGGCCTATCCCCTGTCCAGAACCCACTGTTAAAAAGAAATTAAGGAAGAGCAGTCTAGTGTATTTGATACAGCAAAGCAAAAAAAAAGGCCCAGGAAAATATTTTATCTTTTAATAAACAGTTTTCATTATCATCATCAAATGCCTGCATTTTTACAAACCTGATCTTCTCAGCCCAGCATTTACAGAAAATTGCCAAGTATTGTTTATAGATAAAAGCACAATTCAATATTTATGAATTGCTGGTTTTCTATAAATATAGACATTTGGAGATGATCTTCTCACTAGTCATTAAATTTTGAACAGAGATCAAAGCTAGAATAATATTCACAATTCCTTGCATTTGTACAGTGTTTACATAATACTATTAATAATAGATGACATTTACGGAGCACTTAGCAAGTGCCAGGCACTTTACATGTAAATTTGCATAACGAATTCAGTTCAGTTCAAGGAACATTCACTTAGCACCTACTGTGTGACAGATGAATAACATTTTGTTTCTGTCTTTAAAATCCCTTGTTTTGGTACACTCAATCAGTAGTTGTTGAATGAGTGAATGAGTGGATGGATGAACAAAATAATTGGTTTGAATGGCATTGTGGGGTAATAAAAATAACTCAGGCTCCTCCCCTTACTATCTATCATCTTTAGAAAGTACTTAACCTTTCCTAGACTCAATTTCTTCATCTGTAATATAGGGATATTTAAAATCTCTCTTGCAAAAATGCTGTGAGAATAGTAACAGCAAATGTAAAACATCTGACAAAGAATGGCTCTAGGTAATGACAGTAGTTATTATTATCATCCATATCATCATCATTATTACTATAATTGGGCAATCCTATCCAGCTCTCATCCTCACTGGAGCAATGGGACAAAGAGAACTTTAACATCCACAAAAATACAACATCTACACACACACACACACACACACACACACACACACACACCAAAAAAAAATGTAGTTCTCATTATCCTCCTAGGTTACTGAACAACATTTATGCCCAGCCTAAAAGAACATAGAATCAACTTTAATTAAGTTTCCAAAGATATCTTGATAAAAAGCAAGCAGGATATGAAATTAACCAAATAATAGGCTACACCTTCCCTCAGAATGTTGGTCAATCTAAACATGAGCATGTTCTCTATCCCAACATTCTCAAAAAAAAAAAAAAAACAGCACCTGGAGCCATCCAGAAATTCATATTATTCTTCTAACCAGTAGCCACCCAGAAACTCATCTTATTCTTCTTACTGCCAGTGAGGCTAAGCCCTATCCATACAGCAGATGAACTTGAGCGCTCTGGGTTAAATTCTCCAACCTGAAATATGTCCCAATTGGTGGGTCACTTACCATTTTGGTCTGCTCGTAGATTTCACCATAGGGGCCATCCCATCTCTATAAAGACTCTTGGTTTTGCTGAAGTTAACAATGTTGAAAATAACTCTCTGAAAAAGGAGAGAGAAGTTTATCAGAAGACTATGCTATATGCAAGTTGCTACTTTCTGATAATTAATACTGGAAAAAATAAGCAGGGTTAAACTGTACAGTGAAGAAAAATGATGCTCACAGAAACTCAATGTGTTTGCTCCAGTTTAGTACAGTAGTTAACACCACAGACTCTGGTACCTAGAAGCCTGAGTTTTAATCCCACTTTACACTTTCAAGTTGTATGACCTTGACAAACTATTAAGTCTTTCTGTGTCTCAGTTTCTTCATCTGGAAAATTGGAATAATAATGGTATCTAGGGTTACTGATGAGGATGAAATAAGTTAATATGTGTACAGTGTTTGGAACCATACTTGGTACATACTCAGTACTATATAAGTTTTGGCCATTATTAATTGTGCTGTCTCTCTAGAGACTGACCTAGAATTTGCATGGAAATGAATGATATTATCATTACAGTGACAGTCGTGCATTTGAAGTTCAACAAACTAAAGATAGTAACAGTACAAAACTGAAGTTAAAAAATTATGCAACTTCTCCACACCCTTTTGACTAGAACTGGAGGTTATATGTCCTCTCTGCACCTCCTTTGTTATCCTTTGCTAGGCCTAGGGGTACTAGGCTCAACCCTAATTTTAACATCAACTTATAGGGGCATAGGTACTTGGGTAAGCACCTTTCCTCTCTGGGTTTCCCCTTTAAAAATGGGGGAGAGTGTTCTAGATGACTAAAGTTAAAAGAAATTAGGTCCTTGTTTTAATAATTTTGTCATAACTGGGGAGAAGAGACTAGGAAAGAAAAGATAATTGGGTTTAAAAGACACTAAATGACCACGGAAAGAGTCCAAGGGACAGAGGATGAGGAGCAGAGCAAGGAAAGCCAGAGTAGCTGCAGAAAGGGGAAGCTTTCAATGGATCACCATAGACCAGTGTTTCGATCCAGAGGCAGAGAGGGAAGCATCAAAATTCATGTATTGTTTCAGTTAATAAATATTTATTGTGTGAGGTATTATAAAATATCAAGGGCCAGGTGTTTTACACACTTTTTAAATGATTTAAATATTCTCCTATAACTGCAGATGTGGAAATGGAGGCTCTAATAGTTTACTTGTTTAAAGTCATATAATAGATAACAGATGAAGAGCTGATATTGAATCCAGGGGATTAAAAAAATAAGATGCCCATGATCTTGAGCTGCCCACTAAGCTTCCAAATTTCATAACTCTAACCAAAAATAAGGGCAAAGATAAATATAATAAAAAATTTCAAGTCTTTATAATTTTGGGGTTTTTTTGAAAAGAGAAAATCTTAACCATTTCCTCTAGCATCATGTTTGGAACTACCATAAAAATATTTTGTTCTATGAAATAAGCTCTTAGGAATAACTCATGTTTTTCTTTCTCCTTAGAGATCTAACCATTGACCGCATCTCCAGGCATTTCAGTTTCAGAACTCCCTGTTGCATTAAATTAAGTCATCAAGAATGTCCAAGGCTATTCCATTATTAATAACCCAGACCTGCCTGTTGTCAGTTCAATTACTTCTCCCAGGCTCTTGACTATGGTCCGATTTAAGAAAATCAATATCAAGGGGCACAAATGGCCTTTGAACCTCACAAAGCTTAATCCCCCCCCTTTTTCTTCTGAGATTCCAGGTGTCAGATCCAGTGAACCTGGAAGCCATATTGCAATTTCAGGATTAAATTAATACTAAATGCAGGGGGTGGGGGGACATCTAATACAGAAATAATGTACATATGTGAAGCTGAAATAAATGAGAAAGTAAAACATTTATTGATCATTAATATCCTACACTGTGCCAGGAATATTTCCCAGGTGTTTTAAATATACTTGATTATTTAGCATCTACATCCATAAACAAAAGTTATTTATTTTAGCCCAACTTCAAACATGAGGAAATTAAAGCTAACACAGGCTAACTGGCTTGTCAATCCTCCTGCTCCCCCTCACCCCGCAAAATACACCACACATGCGCGCTCGCGCGCGCGCGCGCGTATGCCAGAACTATTAATTGTTAGAGCTAGGATTTAAATCCTAGATGCTCAGACATAAAGATCATACTTTCTGTGACACTACAGGCAAAGAGGACACTATCTCTTAACATTCTTCACCCATGCATTTCTTAATGTTTTCTAGCCTATTTAGGAAGGTTACCTGTGGTTGTAAGAGTCAAAGTTATTTGGAAGTAGGCACTTAGGAAATCTTGTCTTTCCATATTTTACACTCAATTACCAGTTATTTACTCAAAATGCATCACAAGAAATGGAATCTATGAGGTAATGGTAACAACTATAATAATAGCAAACAACTTCTGAGCACTTCCTAAGTATCAAAAATTTACATATTCTTTATTTTTCATGTATCAAAGAAGAAATAATGATAAAGAGGTAGAAAGAGAATGGAGCAAAACATTCTCATCAAGGGAAGCTTAGCATATCAAACAAGGGCATTAGCAACTTGACAGAATTAAAATAGATATTTCAGGGAGATGCGTTCTTCTCCCTATAACTCAGAATAAATATTTACAAACATACAAACAAAAATGCCTCTCTTTTCCTCCATATTTAATTTTTTGAGGAAACTCCATACTGTTTTCCATAATGGCTGCATCTGTCTGCATTCCCACCAGGAGTAGACTAAGTTTCCCTTTTCTCCACATCCTCTCCAGCACTTGTCATTTGTTGATGGTAGCCATTCTGACAGGTGTGAGGTGATACCTCATTGTCATTTTAATTTGCATCTCTCTGATGATCAGTGACTTTGAGCATTTTTTTCATATGTCTCTTGGCCGCCTATATATCCACTTGGAGAAGTATCTATTTAGGTCCTTTGCCCATTTTTAATTGGATTGTTTATCTTCCTTTTGTTAAGTTGTATGAGTTCCTTATATATTTTGGATATTAATCCTTTATCAGATGTATCATTGCCAATATGTTCTTCCATACAGGAGGCTCCCTTTTCATTTTGTTGACTATTTCTTTTGCTCGTGCAGAAGCTTTTTATTTTGATGCAGTCCCATTTGTTTCTTTTTCTTTGCCCTAGGAGATGTATCCATAAACATATTGCTACAAGAGATGTCTGAGAAACCCAAAACACCAATCAGAAAGAACGTATGCATCCCTATACTCATAGCAGCACAATTTACAATAGCTAATATCTGCAAACAGCCTAAGTGCCCATCAGTAAATGAGTGGATAAAAAAGCTGTGGTACATTTATATAATGGAATACTATGCAGCAGTAAAAAAGAAGAATCTCTTACCCTTGGAGACAGCATGGAGGGAACTGGAGAGTGTCATGTTAAGTAAAATAAGTCAGTCAGAGAAAGACAATTATTGCATGATGTCACTCATATTTGGAATCTAAGTAACAAAATAAACCGATAAATGGAGTGGATCTAGAGACATGGAAGCATGAAACAGAGTGCAGAATCTCAGAGAGAAGGTGGGGGAGGATGGGTGGGTGGTAAGCAATCAATCAAGAACCTTGTATGCATATGTGCATGGTCCCTGGCCACAGACAATGGGGCGGTGAGGGCCTGGGGCTGGGGGCAAGAGTGGGCTACAGGGGGTCAATGGGTGAAAAAGGGGGACATATGTAATACTTTCAACAATAATTATTTTTTAAATGCCTCTCTTTTCCTCAATCTCATAGCACTTCCTACAGAAAATTTTGTTCTAAATTTCATTTATGCATTCATTCACTCAAGAAATATTCATTCAGCCCAGCTGGTGTTGCTCAGTGGTTGAGCATCAACCCATGAACCAAGAGGTCACTGGTTCAATTCCTGGTCAGGGCACATATCTGGGTTGCAGACTTGTTTGGACTCGATCCCCAGTAGGGGGTATGCAGGAGGCAGCCCATAGATGTTTCTATCTCTCCCTCTCCCTTCCTTTCTCTCTAAACTCAATAAAAAACATATTTTAAAAAAAGAAATATTCATTTAAACATTTAATAAATAGTTATAGGATTCCTACTCCATTGTGTGCTGGAATCACATAAATGAATAAGACCCTTTCTCCTTAAGGAACTACCTAGTGGGGGAAATGTACATGTAAAACACACATGTGCAAACACACACACACACACAATGTTGAGGTAGTCTGGTGGAAGGAAAGCTGTATCTTTACTGATGAATAAGGACTGGTCAGGAAGGAGAGAAAGATGGAAGACATTACAATCAGAGGGAGCAACAAGAACAAAGATCAAGTAGTTTGTGGAATTACAAGCTGTTTCCTGTGGCTAAAGCAAGTAATTCTGGGACTGAGTTGGGTAAGAGATGAGACTGGCATTAAAAGACATGGGAGCCATACTGAGTTTTAAGTATAGGTGTGAAAGGTTCAGATGTATGTTTTGGAAAGAACACCCCAAAACTGACATCCTGTTCTCCTCCCAGGGTGATGAAAAGGTCAAGAAGAATGGAGAGATTACTAGCTGCCAATTACCAATCCCAGGCCAACCTACAATGTGCCAAGAGAATGAATCTCTACATTTACCGACTCCAGGTTTTCATTGCCCAGAGTTGCTACAGGGTCAATAGGACAAGTGGGGTTACATGTGTATGCATATGTTTGATTTATTACATGGGTTACTCATCAGGCAAAGGGGAGGAAGCCACAGTGGATTTTTTTCTCAATGCCTCTGAAATTTTCAAATAGGAATGTATAGGTTTTCATAATTAGGCAAAACCAAAAATCCCTCTCTTTTCTGTTCATTCAGTACCTCACTTAAGGTGGATTTACCACACCCTGGTTGGTCCTCTAATGCTACCCACTTCTTAGTTTATATTCTACTTGCTTTTATTATAATATGGGGAATTATTTTGATTCCTGGGTTACCTTGTTTAATGTCAGTACAACCTTTCTTTGATGAGACACAATACCTATCTTTCTTACAAATGCATATATCATATGTGTATAGTAATTGCAAAATTTTTCACAATTCTTATTTCCATTCTGCATCCACATTCTTTGTACTAAG